GAACATGACCATTCAATTTGAAATGACAGATATGGGTCGAATGTCTAATTTTTTAGGCATTTAAGTGAAACAAACAAATGAGGGAATTTTTATTTCACAGAAGAAATATGCATCAGATATTCTGAAGAAATTTAAGATGGAATCATGTAAATCAATGTTGACTCCAGTGGAACAAATATTAAAATTAGAAAAAGAAAGTGGCAGCGTTCTTGTCAATTCAAAAAATTTCAGAAGGCTAGTGGGAAGTCTCATGTACTTGACAATAACAAGACCTGATATAGTTTATGGAGTTGGACTTATAAGTAGATTCATGGACTCGCCAAGACAATCACATTGGCAAGATACAAAGAGAATTTTGAGGTATGTCAAAGGAACAATTGATGAAGGATTTTTTTATTCAAGTACTGCCAAGCCAAAGTTGGTTGGATACACAGATAATGATTGGGCAGGTGAAACTGAAACTTGAAAAATCACTTCGGGTTATGTTTTCCATCTCGGTACATGTGTGTTTTCTTGATCCTCTAAGAAACAACAAGTTGTTGCTTTGTCAACAATAGAGGCAGAGTACATAACAATAACAAATTGTGCTACTCAAGTAGTTTGGTTGCAGAGAATATTAAGTGAATTGTAGTATCAACAAGATGGTTCAACGAAGGTATTATACGATAAAAAATCAACGATTGCTCTAATAACGAATCCAGTGTTTCACGGTCGTAGCAAATATATTGATATTAAACATCACTACATTCAAGACTTGATAAGAGATAAGGAAATTGTGGTGGAGTATTGTACTTCGGAAGATCAAGATTGCTGATATTTTTACAAAGCCACTAAAAACCAATTTGTTCTTAAAGATGAAGAATTTGCTAGGAATGATGAAGCCAAATTTAAGGGAGGATGTTAGATAATATAAATTTGGCATTTGAAAAAGTCAATAAGAGAAAGCCATGAATGGTTATCTAGTTTCAAGGATTACCATAAATTATTTAGCAAAAGCTAAATATGCATTTTCTCAATTGTTATAAAATTGTTATTACTTGTAATGAAAATCATCAGAAAGAAAGTGAAAGATAAAACAATAAAGAAAAAGGATCCAACGAGTTTTGTTTTGTGCTTAGAAGAAGTTTGTTTATGATACTATTTTCAATATTATTCTTATAACAACACAATTATATTAAAGCAATTCAATTTATTTGCCAACAGTCTCCAATAGTTTTCAAGCAATATGTAAAAGTATATGCGCTTGGTATAGCCTGCAACATTTTTTTTGTTTGTGGACCCATGTTATGTCCATAATTTATTATACTTGACGAATTTGATGAAAAAATCAACATTGAATTTGCACTTGGAGGTTAAAGTATTTTGAATTTATTATACTTCACGAATTTGATGGAAAAAAAAGTATTGTTACATTTTAACTAGCATCTTATTGATCACATATATCATGAAGCAAATAAATGTTTGGATATGTTACAAAATATTTAGAGAGTTTCTTTTTCCATTGCTACATGTTTTTTCTCTAACTCCTGACGAAAAATAAAAGATATTTTTAATTTTCGGAGATGTATCTCCAAAAGTACCATTTCAAACAAAATAAGTACAAATGGTTGAACTTCCCTCACTTTGGTAAAATTTAATTCGGAGATGCATATTCGAATGTGTTTTATGGTTTGTCCGCATACTTTTTCGAATCAACCCTTATTTTTAAATTTTGATTTTATTTCGGAGATGCATCTCCGAACATGTTCAATGGATATATAACATGCATACCCTCCTTCTTCTCATTCTTTATTTTTTGAAACTTTTGAGAACTCCATTGGAGCTTATGAGCAACACTCTTCCAGTGAATTTTTCAAGGAACAACAATATCTCTACTTCAATCTTTTCAATCTCAACTTTCTCCACCTATTACACTACATTCAACATTTTTCATTCTTATCAACACTTTTTAAAGTAATTTTCTCATTTAATTTATTTTGAGTTTTGATTAATGTATTAGATAAAATAACTTGTTTTAAATGCATTAGGTAGTAGTCACATTCAAAACAGGTAGTTGTTATAGACATGCACTAGAATTTGGTTGCATTTTGGGTTGTTAGGACAAGACTGATACATGTTTCTGTCATTGATGCAAACACGGGCTAATTCGGAGATGCATCTCCGAATTGTGTCCTTTTTGGTTTTTTGAGTTGCATATCCAAAAATTATCTGGATGCAAACTGATATCTTTTTCTCGTTTTTCAAGAAAAATGGCTGCAACCAACGACGACAAAATGAGATTTGACCATAAAACCCGACACACTTTCATTCGACGTGAGAGATCTAGACTTCAGAACGAGCAACCAGAGTTATGCGAGGAACCGTCCCTAAGCCTCTTGACGAGGAATCACTAACTTCTAGGAGCCGTTTGTCACATGGGTCTTCATCCCAGAGGCATGTCTCCCCTGCTCATGTAGACCAGGAGGAAGCTCGCGCTACACATGATGATGTCCTTTTACTTGCATACCCATATCTAGGAGGGCCTTCTAACACCTCTTTACTGACATACTAAAGAGATCACGTTATTGGGCATGTTTGGACTGAAGAGGTATATTTGTTAATAGTTGTTATTTATAAGTTTTAAACAAATTCTCTATGATTGATATTGTTATATTTTTTTAATAAGAGGGTGATTGTTAACCATAACAAAAAGATTTTGAAGCTTTATCAGAGTAAGGATGATTGGTTCCAAAGTGTCATTCGATACTCCGGTCTTGGCGGCCCTTGTTCCACTGGGTACAAGATAATTAACCATGACATGCATGAGGCTTTTGTTGAGAGATGACATAAAGAAATCTCGTCTTCCCACTTCCCCATTAGCGATATGACAATTACACTATATGACTTTGCTTTCCTTTTACACCTTCCCATCAATGGGGAATTTACTTGATCATTCCAGGATCAAACGTGATGAAGTCTAGAAGATGATGCTCATTTATTTGGGAGCTGGCCCAATGGATGCTCTGATGTAGTGTGAGGCACCAGAGGTGCTCATGCCATAGTTTTCATACTTTCAAAAGCTATATGAAGATAACTTGGAGTTGGTAGATGATGTCAACGATAATGATCTATAGGTTACCTAGCATCGAGAGTGTGTTTGAGGTGTTTCATCATATTCTTAGTTGTGACGTCCATGTTTATGGACAAAAGTACAACCTACGCCGATGTGGAAGACCTTAAGTACTTCATCGACATGTTGGCCATTCCAGAGTGGAACTGGGGGACCGTCTATTTGGCATACATGTACTCCAAGCTGAGCAAAGGTTTCATTTGAACAACAAAGCAAATAACAAGCTCATGCACCATGTTGGCGGTAATTTTCATAGCCAATTTTAATTTTTAAAGCACTTTTTACACTTGTTACTAATATTTGTTTCTTATTCATTTTCACGGATGAATCATATCCCACTTTCACCGTATACACAACTTTGATCGTTTGATAGGGTATAGTGAGGATTGACCATATGCTTACCCGTGTTGCCCACAAAGAGGGAATAATGTTGTGCAAACATTTTGTGTGTATATTGATCAGACTCAACATGATTACATCAACGAGACACCGTACACCACTCACTGGGGCACTATTGTCTTCGACTTCGTTTCATTTTAATCCAGATGGGTGGCATGTGGAACGAATTTGATGTACATGTATCTTCTATAGTGATGCATACCTTAGTTTGAATATGTGCATATAATTCTAAGTCTCCCCTTCGATTCTTCTTTTAACAACATGGTCCACATACATCTTAATGACATACTGGCAGATTACGAAAGTTATCTTGTACTAGAGGAGTATCAGAGTATGTCAGCCACAATTCAGTTGTCTTGTGTGGACGATTACATAACTTGGTTTTATAGCGCGTCACATCTTATCATGACATCAGGCATTCTGGACGTCCACCTAAGTCTGCTCATGAGAAGATCATGCAGAATGAGCAGGACAAAGATGACCATGACATTGATGTGTTGTCGATATATCAAAATATTATGCATATTACGTATGAGGGCATATAGTATGTGCTGTTTGCGAGAGATGACGATGATGAGGTTGCTCTAGCACGCTCCATTCTTACCGAGACATATAATGTCTTGGGTTACTGAAGACATAAGAAGAATCAGGGGATTAGGATTAAGCATACGTAATAGGTTATGATTTTTTTTTAGATATGAAATCCAAACTGAAGAATCTCTTACGCTACACCAAAAATTAGAGATTAGTTAAGGCCGAGTATCATTCACCAATGCTTGATAATTAGAAGAAGATTAAATTCAAAAAGTTTAAAATGTAAGTGTTATGTGAAGTATATTTCATTGTAATACCACTAAGGATCTAATCAAAGTGGATGTGACACTTACAAGATCAATCATAGATATTCTAAAAGTGATGAAACATCCAAAACTATTCGTTAGTATGAAATATCATGTTAAATTTAAATTAACAAATATTTATGTTATGTTGTGTATTCCTTGTGTGTGATCTATGCTAAGTTATGTTATTTTGTATTAGTTGTTTGATACTACTTATGTGTTATGTGTTTGTGATAACAAGAGACAATATGAATGTGAATAATTGGACACACCCATGAGCCAAATTATTAAATTGTTGTTTGTATTGGATTTGTGATAATAAGAGTGAATCCAAATTTCAATATCTTAACTCACCCTTGAACCAAATTGTTTGTTTGTTCTATGCTCCGTCTACGTGATAGTTAAGGGTAAATCCGAATTTCAATATTCGAAAATATTTTTACTTGTATTTAATGTAGGTGAAATGCATTAGAATTCCAATTTCTAAAATTTAAGAGTCTATTATCAAGTTGTGTGAGTAAGAAAGGAGGTGTATGAACAATTCTAAAAAATGCGTACTAAATATATATTGGGCTTTATATGAACTCTCCTGCGGCCCAATTTTCTTTCTTCAGTCCCATCTTCTTCTTCCTCTCTCAATTCAAATTCGGATAATGGCTTCACTGACTTCAGCACCACCACCATCATTTCTCACCTTTCATTCCCGCCAAACTCGCTTCTTTTCCACTCATCACTTCCTTCCACTCCCACTTCATCTTCCACCAAGGTATCACCATTTCACCATTTCCACTTTCAAAATTCACCGTTAATTAACACCGTTTATTCATTCATTACATGCATACAGGAGCATCAAAATCCAACACAAGCGCAAAACAGTAGAATGCAGAGTTACGAATCCAAACCCTCCACCGTCAACGGCGTTAACAAAGGAGCCTCACAAATACTTCGACCACGTAACTATAACCGTTCGCGGAGGCGACGGCGGTCACGGATCGATTCTTAACCAGAAACCTAAAAAAGAAGCTGAAAAGGGCAAAAAAGGAAAAGTGATTGATAGTAATAAGAGAAGTGCGTTGAAGAGGGATTTTGATGGATCGGTTATACTTCCGATGGGTGGTCATGGTGGTGATGTTGTTATCTATGCCGATGAGAGTAAAGATAATTTGTTAGAGTTTCATAATAAGAATCGGTTTAACGCGAAACGTGGTGGGAATGTTGATGCTGTTGGTGTGTTTACTTCTTACTTGAGGAACGGAATTGCTGCTCCTGCTGTTAGGATTCCTGTTCCTTTAGGTTTGTGAATTTCATTCTGTTTTTGTTGTTGTTGTTGTTGATATTATACCTATGTTCTTTTTCTAGTGCTCCTTCTCTATAGATAGATTTGATATATTTTGAAATTTGTTGAAGTGGAAGTGAAGATGCTGCATTGAATGTGTGAGATTGGAAATAACGATATTAGGGAGAGTTGAAGCAGCTAGAAAATATGGTAAAAATTAGACTCATGTGCTTTGGGCACATAGAGAGAAGACATGTGAACTAAAAAACTTAGATATTTGATAGAATATTAAGGGTAGTCAAAGCATTAGAGGTAGAAGGATACTTAAAAAAAATCTATAAGGCTATGTTTGGATGTTATTGTGAAATGAACGGGGCGGAGTGTAGTGGAGTGTAATGTAGTAGAGAAGAGCAGAGCTGAATGAAGATTCCATTCCATTGTTTGGAAATTTTAGGATGCAACAAGATGAATTCTTCATTCCACCCAAATCGGAGGGGAAGAAGTATGGTGGCAAGTGATGGAATGGAATGTAATCCATACCACTCCATCCGATTTTAAATGTTCCAAACAATGGAGTACCACTCCATTCCACCCCATACCGCTCAGCTCCATCCGATTCCATCAATCCAAACAGTCGAAGAAACTACTAAGATAGATCTCAATATTTATGAGTTTGATGGCGTTGTTTGATCATTGGCAGTGTTATCAAATAACGGTGCTATGGCCGCTATGACGGATATTCATGGCGATTTTGGGCTCGCCACAATGCTAAATATCAGCCGATATTGCGTGTTTGTTCCGCCATAGTCCACTATAACGCTGCAAAGCAGCCGGTATGGCGGGATTTTGGCTCTTCGCCATGGACCGCCATCCACCATCGACGACACTGATCATTAGTGAGATGAGATTAGGCTATTGTTGTTGAATAGCAATGGTAGTAATATTACATTTAATTGGTTATTCTTGAATTCATCACAAATGGTGCAAAGATTTTCCATTGTATTTTTAGAGGGGATTTGGATAATACATACAATTTAGTTAGTTCAATTTTTACCTTGTAGTCTACTATATGTTGTATTTTTAAAGGGGATTTGGAAAATAAATACAATTTAGTTAATTTAATTTCTACCTTGTAGTCCATTATATGTTGGAAATGTGAATAAATATTAGATTAGGTGTTGTTTTGTAATTACGAATACAAATGTCACCTAAAACCAAGTTAAATGAATTGTTTTAATAACCGAACTGGCCTGATCTTTGAATCAATGTTCACATGTTTTAAACTGTTTGAATCGGGGCGAATTCCTGATCTAACCGTACAAGTTATTGAACTATAGACAGTTTCGGTTCATAATTCAATTGGTTGAATTGTCAGCTTGGTTTTTAAAGAATTGGTAAAAAGCCGCCTAAACAGTGTTGGTTTGTTTTCTTGTTTTCATTTTGAATCAATATGTTTTTCAATATTATTACAAAAGTTGTCACCTTGTTTTCATTTTGTTTTCTGTTTAAATTTTTCTGTGAAAAATATTGTTAAACAACATTTTGGTGAAAAGGATTCTTAGAAAACTAAATTTGATATCCCTTATTGTGTTTATGATTGTGAGTTACAGGTACAGTTGTGAAAAGCAAACGAGGAAAGATGTTAGCTGATCTAGCACGACATGGTGATGAAGTTCTTGTTGCTAGGGGTGGACGAGGAGGGGTATATAGCAATACACACAGATTTGAATTTCTTTCAATATTCTGAGTAATGAATTGAATCGGGCACGTTCAATACGTTTTAAAAATAACCTAGTATCACATAAGTTGCACCAGTTCACATTGGTGATAAAGTTAAATAGTTTGATATAGAATAAATAAATCATATTCTTGGGTACTGTACCCCGTAAGTAAGGATTATTTTAGAGAATGTTTTGTTCTAACATTATATTCTTTCCCTGAAATTATAGGGTTAGCTGCGGTATACACATATGTTAGTTACTATTGTTGTATTTTGCACCTGATTCCAATTTCCTACTTTTTCTCTTGTCTTCCCAGATTAGCTTGTTAGAAATGCCAAAACATAATAGGAAAAAGATGACGAGTTTGACAACAAACATGATGAGAGATGACTCGGATAAGGTAAAATCTATTGAGTATTTACGTGTTCACTAAAATATTTACGTGTCCACTAAAATATTTACGTGTCGTGGTTGTATCTCTGGAAGATATCATTAGTGGCCTCTTAGAGTTATAGACTTCATTGTGCGTGTATTAAAGGATTGAATCAACAGGGCCATTCTCTTGCTCTCTCAGTTTAGTCAATTTTGGTTTAAATTTTGCAGTCCATAATTGTCAACCAATTTTTTAAATCCAAAATACATGCTCTTTACTCGGTATTTGCTGGGGTCTGAAACTGTGATCTTAAATTATCAATTTCATATCTGGTTTTATACAAATTTTAAAATGTATCTTGAATCCAAAAACAATAGTATTTGAACATTTTGTATTTACTAGTTGCAATTAGATGTCACTGCATTTAGCTAGTTGTGTTCCTAATTCCTATATTCCTGTAAGATAAAACTGTCATTCATTTGAAATTTTTTACAGGTTTTAGTTCACGGTCAACCTGGGGAGGAAGTTAAGTTGGAGTTGACCCTACGAGTCGTAGCTGACGTTGGTTTGGTTGTAAGTATTGCTTCTATGCATGATGTCCTGTTTAATTCCTTATCAGTTTTCTTACTCTTATCTTCATAATAACTTCGTGTGTATTGTTGATGGATGAATTTTGTGTCTTATCTCTTTATGAAGGATGATACTTTTAGATTTCCGAGAAACTAAAATTTTGGTTTTAACTGGCTTTTTTGAAGATTGTGAAGGATAATGGGGTGATGTGTAAAGCTTAAGTGGTTTAATTTAGTTTCTTTGGATTGTATTAATCATATTTTAAAATGGTGAACAAAAGTTGCCTCAAGTGAAATTTGTTGGCTGAAGAGTAAGTGAAGGTTTTACTTCTTCAAATATGTTCATTCAGCTGCTCAAGATCAAGTTAATCTTGTTGTAGGGACTTCCAAATGCTGGGAAATCAACGCTTCTAGGAGCCATTACACTTGCAAAACCCGATATTGCTGATTATCCTTTTACAACATTAATGCCAAATCTTGGGCGCCTTGATGGTGATCCCAACTTGGGAGCAGGAATGTATTCATCTGAAGCCACGTTGGCTGATTTGCCCGGTCTTATTGAAGGTGCTCACTTGGGAAAGGTATCAATAAGTTCATGTATGTTGTCAAATGTCCCTCCTTTAAACCATTGAGATGCTAAGTAGTTAAAATGAAATCGTTTTTATCTTTCAGGGTCTTGGTCGCAATTTTTTGAGGCACCTACGAAGAACACGTCTATTGGTCCATGTTGTCGACGCATCTACTGAAAACCCTGTAAATGACTACAGAACTGTCAGAGAAGTATGTACATTGCATTTTACACACACTCTCTCTCTCTCTCTCTCTCTCTCTCTCTCTCTCTCTCTCTCTATATATATATATATATATATATATATATATATATATATATATATATATATATATATATATATATATATATATATATATATATATATATCTTTGGTGTTTTTAATCCTGCTCGTTCTCTTTCCATTCTATTATGTTTTGCAGGAGTTGCGCATGTATAATCCTGAGTACCTTGAACGACCATACGTTGTTGTTTTGAATAAGATTGACCTTCCAGAGGTATGTAGTTTCCTTCTAGTAACCTCTATGTGAGTTTGAGTGTATCTTTAATTTCCTATTATCTTGTAAAAGGAGGCTCGGTGCATATGAGATTCCATCATTGTGAAGTCTAGTGAGGGTAATACGTTTAGTCACTGCGAAGGGAGATTCTGTATCTATACCTAGAGCACACCCAGCACCACCTGAGCACAATCATATACATTTTTACTATTACACCAGAGCTCACCCTTTCCTATTTTTATCCCGTGATATGAAAATTAAATAACTCATGCAACAAACATGTATGTTAATTTTCATTTCAGGTTGAGGACAAGCTTCCAATATTGACTCAAGAAATTCTAAGAATTGGCAGCGATGGTACAGCTTCTGGACAAAAACCAAGTTCTGAAATTCCTGCTCAATTATTGTCTGACGAAAGTGACACAAAGGAAAAAAAACTTGAGGACTATCCACAACCTCACTCTGTTATTGGAGTTAGTGTTCTGTAAGTTCTTGATGTTTTGTTTTCGAATATTTTCTTTTTTCAAGTGTTTTTCTTCTTAATGTTTCACACACACCTCAAATGTTTATACCTTTTATATCATACATTTCATAGTACCCCATAGGCTAAGGTTAAAATTTGATGTTGTCTTATTACAGAAAGCGTATCAGGATTAAGGAGATGTTAAAGGAGATAAGGGCTGCTTTAAGGCATTGCATTGATTCCAATGGAGCATTGGCTTCCAGTGTCACGCGATGAGATTTGCGTCCTATGCTGTCAAGCACTTACTGTTCAACGAGGCATTCTGCAAAGACAACACATAAATCGGTTCTGGTATTAATTTGGCTTTATCAGAGAACAAATATTAAGAAAATCACCAGTTGGTTATAGACAAATTACTAACGTGGTGTGAGACGCCAGAATCATTATGAGGTGATAGTCCAGGTTCCTGGACCTCATATTGTTGCAAGCAAGATAGGCAATTTGACATGTAAATTATATCAGTTGTACTAAAACAATAAAAGATGCCTGTAAGATCCCACTACTAGGTATATTTGTAATGCTAATATTATGGATATTGATATATTCTTAGGACAAAAGAAACATTGTACTCCATTGAATATTGAATTATGTACACTCAGGCCTATGTTATTGTTAAGTGTGCTTGTGGTCTTCATTTTTCTCCAAGTTATTTAGCTTTTGGATGCCTGTAATTCCATGAAATGGTAATGATGCCTGTTCACGGATCAATATGTGTAATCACTGTATTGTGAATTGTTAATTTGGTCAAAGATCAAAGAGAAAGTTAACAATGTTCAACTTACCTTAAACTAGCAAACGAACTTATCTTAAACTAGCAAACGAACAAAAAGTAGTCAATGAGAAATAAAACACTCCTGGAAACTTTGGAGAAATAAATATATTGGTTTTCTTTTCCCTTTGTTGATACCCTTTATTGTAGAAAAATGTTACTTGAACATACAATCTAACATCAACACCACTTTTTCTATAACTCTTTTATTTTGTTTTTTTATTACTATTTCTCACTTCTAACACTTATTCAATATATATTTTATAGTATTCATTTTTGTGTGTCTAAATAACACACCTCTTCACCTTATCCATTGAGTTTGACTTTAGAAAGATAAGGCGAGTCTTTTATGGAATTTAAAGCTATTTTAAATGATGAATGTGTCATGCACTCTTTCCTTTGAAATGGGATAATAAGCTTATTGTATATGCTAAATAATAGACTCTACTTATCACTTCTTCACATCAATGTATCTTATTTTAAAGATGCGCGCATCAGAAAAATACATCTACATGACTTATTTTTATATGCGCGTATCTTAATTTCACATATCAGGAAAATAAATCTACATGACTTATTTTTATATGCGCGCATCTTAATTTCACATATGCGCGCATCTGCGTCAAATTTATGTGGTTTGAAAGTAGGCTTTCGACAAAAATATGCATTTTGAAAGCATATATTAAAAAAAAATTATGATTTTTTAGAAATAAACTTTCTATTGTGATAACTAACAATCATTAAGTTCAGTTTTTATTTATATAGATAAATAGTTCACTTGGAAGGTGTTATGCACAATTCTTAAAGGATATATTCCTAACGGAGACTTAGAGGAACCACTTTCACTAATTTTAAGCACAACAAACAAAAAGAAAAAGCGCAAGATGAATAGTACTAGTAGTGTAGAAGAAAATAAGTACTTATCTAGTTGAGATTCTTAAATCTTGAACCATAACAAAATAAAAAGGAACACACACTAGTGCAATGCATGATGGTTTTATCAATTTCGATAAACTCGTAAATATGTCGTAAGTGATGTATAATTCCAATGAATCAAACTAGTTTTTGGCTGTTTTACTAGCCACATTGATGACTGATTCTAATTCTCTTTGCACTTTGAAACACCTGGGATTGTTTCTTTCCACGTACAAAGGCTTCTCATGTGAGTCTTATTTTTTTGAAACCCTTGCACGTACTTATCTTCAACCGTTTACTCTAAATGTCACCGAACCTACCCAATAGTAAATGGCCATTATCCAAATCCACATTACTAAAGCAACAGTACATATATAATAAAAACAATTCTTCAATTTACTTTTACCTTTCCTTCTCATCATATATAGATAATGAACTTCATTTAAACACGAACACCTCAGACAAACTCGCATTAATTCAATTTTAAAAAAACCAGTTTATAAGGTGAAGATTACATACATTTACTTTAAAAATATAAGTTTAAATTTAATCTCATCTAATATAAAACTCTTAACACATTCTCACGCCAATAACTTTACATTTAGAATCTAAACCAAGTGATTCGATAATAACGACCTGATAACAAAAACGAATCTTAAATATATACTTATTGTGAATCTTATAATCTTCTTGATTAGATTGAACTTAACTTTGCAATATAATCTTGATTAGATTTGAACTCAAATATACAAAGCCGATTTATAAGATAAAGACTACTCTCATTTATAAACACATGTTTTAACTTGATCACATCGAATCGAATACAAGACTCTTTTAACATATTATAATTATTATATACTTCACTTTCAAGGTTAAGACAAAAATCTATAACTACATTAATTTAATTCATCACTTTCATTTATTATTTCAAACAAAAGAAAAAGAAAAAACAAAGAAAAAAGGGAAATCAAGTGAGAATTTTGTTCTTGAGAATTAAATTATGTAGAAAAGCTTAAAGCCAAGTGTGTACAAGATATATCAACAGTAAGGATCATAGTTGACACGGTTAGCCTTGTTAAAGATGACAAGTAGCAGCTCAAACTAATTAAGGGCCACGTTTCATATGCATGGAGTTAGCACATTACTACACATGTTTTCACATATAAATACCATGCATTCATCAAGCCTTTTCTCTCAAGATAAACCTGTTTTCATACCTAGCACACTCAAAACCACATTTCAGTTCTCTGCTGAAAACTGAGTGTGTAACAGAAAAACACAGCACAAACAGAACCAGAAAAAAAGCAGAAAAAAGCAGAAAAAAAATGATGAAATCAGAGGTGAGAAGTGAAGAGAGAAAACAGTTGAAAAAACCAGCACAAGCAAGTTCAAGAAAAGGCTGCATGCGAGGCAAAGGTGGACCTGAAAATGCAAGCTGCACTTACAAAGGTGTGAGACAGAGAACCTGGGGCAAATGGGTGGCTGAAATCCGCGAACCTAACCGCGGAGCTCGTCTTTGGCTCGGTACTTTTGAAACTTCTCATGACGCTGCTTTAGCTTATGATGCTGCTGCTCGTAAGCTGTATGGTTCTGAAGCAAAACTCAATCTTCCAGACCTTTCTCCTCATTCTGCATCCTCTGAGACAATATCACAAACACCTCAAATGCAACATCAACAAATTCAAGTTCAAGCCAATCTCAACAACAACAACAGCTTCAATATTTCAAACATCAATTCATGCAACATGAACAACATGAGCAACATGAGCAACATGAACAACATGAGCAACAATAACATTAACAATAGCATCAAGAGCACTGTTTTTGTTGGTGATATTGGACCAATATATAACAGTGATAATTCCGTTGTGCCATTTCCAATGGATGTTCCAAACACAATGGAACAAGTAGTTGTTGATCAAAGCTACAACAATATTAACAATCCAAAGGGTATTATGGAGAATAATGATTCATTTTTTGGAACAATGAATTATGAAACCACCATGCCAGTGGTTGATGATGATTCAATCTGGAGAGAAGCTGCTATGTCTCTGGATGCTGCAATTTCAATGGATTATCCAATGATCAGTGATCCTGAAGGAATATATAATTCTGGTGGAAGTTTCGGTGGTTGGGATTCTCTACAAACACCCTGGTGCATGTAAATCAAATCAAGCCAAAAACAATCATCATGCAATAATAATATTATTAGTGTGTATATGTATATGTATGCTATACTATATATACTCTATACTATGTATATATAGTATAGTGTGTATATATATATATATATGTATTGCTTTAGTTAGGTATATAAGGGGTGAAAGATGTGTTTAGTATATTTTAAGTAGTAAATATGTTACGGTAATAACAATAAGTTGACCCAAAGATCATTACAGGGTGATTTTGTTTGTCATGAATCTTTGTAGCGTCACCAAATTATATAATGTAAAAACAGAACTGCTATGCTTGTATATACTAAGTATATATGATGTAAAAAGACAAGTGCTATGCTTACACCAACTTATAACACCGTAGCACTAGTTTGCACTATTAATTTGTAACTCACACAAATTCCAATGCACATTTTAATAATAAAATGAGGGGTAAAAAATAGTTTGATTATATTATATTATATTAAATGCATGTTAATAATTTGAAGATTTAAATATATTTAAAACTTTTTATAAATTATATTATATGTTTAATACTATCATATGTTATTTATATTCCTTAAGTCAACTGATATATTTTAAATGTTAATGTTGCTATCTAAAAGTGTAAAATTTTTGTAAATATAAAAAGATAGAATGTTAGTAGGTGAGTTCTGAAAACTTATGTTTGATTCAGATCTTCAAGATCTTAATTCACAACCTATTCAATCACCAATATTTTTATCTCTTTATCATTATATATTTTTTTACTTCTACCAGTAGATTAATCTCATTATGATTATATTATACACTCCTGATATTATAGTAAGACACTTTTAGAAGGGTTAACACAGTGTGTACTCTTGACACTTATATTATATCCTCTCTATAGTTTTTGCATCTGTACAGTGATTCATCTGTACATTTTTACAGATGTCAGTTCACCCATTACTCTTGAAACGTCACTATTAAATAGATGTCATCACCTATTACCCTACTTTTTATGAATGTGACAATACCTTTTAATTTTTTAACAGAGTAACACCTTCTTGGATACATTTGATTTTCTCAAGAAGAAAATAACTCTATTTAGAGGATTCTCTATCTTCATATGCGAATATCTGAAGAAAACATAGAGGTTCTGTGTCAATTTCAATTTTCTCAACTTGTATCGCTAACTTAATTAACTCATTCTTCCATACATCTAATTTCATCTTTATATCATAAGTAATTCTCAACATCAATTTCGACTTTCAGATTATATGGTAAGTTATTTGAAATTGGAAATTCAAAAGTCCTATCACGTATTTCTGTTTTTAAAATTTCTGTGTCACTCCTACCATACATCTAATTTCATCTAAAAAGGAATTGATTATTTTTTATCAAGAACAAAACAACTCTAGTTAGAGGATTCTCTTATCTCCATATCTAGACATCTGAAGAACTCAAACAAGTTGTGTGTCAGCTTGGATTTTCAAATGGTATGAATAAGTTATTTGAAATTGGAAATTCAAAATCTTATCTTGTTTTTAAAATTTGTAGGTTATTATGAGATGATGCCACCTTCAGAATATGTTTTTTTTGAAGGATTCAAAAAAATTCTCAGGAATAAATTATCTAAATGTTTGATTTTTGAGTATTTTTTAAAAAATGTATTTAATATATTATTTGATATATTTAAGAAATTAGTAGTTATATTTTTAATTAGAAAATCATATAAAATTTAATGTGAAAAAACATTCTTTTTTGTTTTTGAAAATAAAATATATTATATATACATTTAAAAAACAGTTGAGTACAAAATGATTTATAGGGTTCAGCTCAAACACTCTATAATATTATAGGGTTATGCAAATATTACAAAAAAAGCATAGGGGAGATAGGGTCCCTTGCCTTAAGCTCCGCTTCGCTTGCAAACTAGCACTTACATGGTCATTAATTCTGAATTGATAGTTCACTGTTTGAATGACCTGCATAATCCAACCCACAAATTTCCTGAGAAAGCCCATCTCTACCATGATAGTTCTCAAAGCACACCACTCCACAAAATTATAGGCTTTCTGAATACACATCTGCATTATACACCTAGGGCTTTCATCTTTTCTATTGTACCCTCTGATTAGCTCGTATGCCAGCAGAATGAGGTCATGAATCTTTTGACCTGGGACAAACGCAGCTTAATTCTTACTAATAATGAGTTCAACACTTTCCCAAGCCTTTCAGCCATCACCTTTGAAATGATCTTGTAAAGTGTTGTACAACAAGAGATGGGTCTATAATCTCTAATGGTCTTTGCATTCTCCTGTTTAGGAACTAGAGTAACTAAAGTTCTGTTAAATATTTTGTCTAATCTCCATGCATTAAAGAAATCCCGAACCTCTGTAATTACATTCTCTTTCACTATATTCCAAGAAACTTTGAAAATTTTGGACCCAAAACCATCCACTCTGGGGGCTTTTAGATCATCAATGCTACTAAGAGTTTTTCCTATCTCCTCGGCTGTCACATCTTTGACCAGCTCCCCCCGCCGCTCCATAGTAAGCTGCCTGCCTCTTCTAAGAGCTCCAATATCCACACCAGCAATGGTCATATTAGAATTCCCCATAAGGCTACCATAAAATCTCAGAATTTCCTTAGAGATCTCATCATGACAGCTAGCCATGCTACCATAATCTCCTTGAAGGCCACTGATTGTACTATGTTTATACTTACTCTTCAAAGTTGCATGGAAGAAAAAGTTGTTCCCATCCCCAAGCCTAATCCAAGCAATCTTGGATCTCTGTTTTAACATGTGTTCATCAATCTCATTAAGGTAAATAAGCTTCTCATTTCTATTCTTCTCCTGCAAAATTGGATTGGTATTCAGTTTACCTTTTAACAACTTTTGCTGGATTTCTTTTAGATGAGTTCTAGCCTCTTCAATTTGGGTCTTTATTCCAATTAAGGGTCTGATGACATTCCTAATCACTTGTTGCATCTTGGTTAGATTATTCCACAGATTATCACCCTTATGCCAGTTACAGGAAATTGCATCATGATACCCCTCCAGACCAGTAACCTTGTTTATAAACTGAACATGTACTTCCTCTTATTCTTTTGGTCATCATCCTTGAGGCACAACAAGGCGTGATCAGAGATGCTTGGCTCCATAATATGCAGGTTCACATGGTGATTTTTCTGATACCAATCCACATTTGCTATGACCCTTTGTATCCGAGAGTAGATAGCCCCCTGCACATGTTTATTGAACTAAGTAAATTTCTCACCCTTGTTCTCCATCTCAAACAAATTATTCTTCCCCGTCATATTCCTAAGATCATCATATTCATATTCTTTAACATCTCTTCCTCCCATTCTATCTTGAGACCCAAGAACATTATTGAAATCTCTCATTATACTCCAAGACCCCTGTATACCTCTCCCTAAGTTGTCTAACTCATTCCACATCTTCCTCCTCTCCTCAAGGAAATTTGAGGCATACACAACAGTGAGCCAGCTGGTAAGGTTACCATCACTATTGTACACTCCATAATGCAACAATTGGACTGTACTCTGAATTTTTTGCACCTTTATCTTAGCATCATTCCATAAAATCCATATTCTACCATTTTCATGGCTCTCATAGTTATCACAAAATTGCCAATTACTTCCCAAAATATTCCTACACTTCTCTGCATTTTTCTTTTTCACACGAGTTTCCACCAGAATTGTAATATTTGGTTGCAGCCTAGAGAGACGGGAGCCAATCTCTCTACTCCTGGCCACTTTATACAGCCCCCTAATGTTCTA